AAACTTAAGACTTAGAGAACAATAATCCATATTAAGGCGTTTCTGAACAAAGCTTCAAAGGTCAATAATGGGTTTTTTACAGGTGAGTCACAAACCAAGTCCACAAAGTCAAATTTTAAGGAGATGAAATTCTATTTATCTCCAAGTAGAACATGCTTTCTCTGACCACTGATTTAGACACCAACTGCTCACCACTGGGCCCAAATTCTCAGTACATCCTGCTCACCCTCACTCCACATATGGTCTAAGATGGCTACACGGAAGTGAGACAGCATATTATAAAAAGGATTTGGCATCAAGATATCTCAAAAATAAGGACTTAAAGGGCATCGTGCTATTTTTCTCACCTGCCAATCCAATTTACATTTAGTCCTTTTAGGGAAAGATAAAAAAGGAAAGTACTTTCCACTAAGCTTTTTTCAACACAAGAAAAAAATGCAAAGACATGGGGCACCTGGGTGGTTCAGTCAGTTAAGCGTCTGACTTAGGTCCAGGTCATGATCTCACGGTTCGTGAGCTCAAGCCCCACGTCAGGCTCTGTGCTGCTGGCTCAAAGCCTGGACCCTGCTTCGGATTCTGTCTTCCTCTCTCTCCACCCCTCCCCCATTCATGCTGTCTCTCAAAAACAAAGGCAAAAAAAATTTTAAATTTTTAAAAATTAAAAAAAAAAAAAAAAAAAAAAAAAAAAAAAAAAAAAAAGAAAAAATGCAAAGGCAAAAAATAACCTAGAATTTCTTCCCTTTATCTTAAGGACTTCCCAGAGCCAGAAAAAGCTGAAAAACAGAACTTTAATACCAACAAGGTCAACACTCACCTTGCCCCAGATACCCCAGCACTAAACTCAGATCTTGTCCTCTAAGGTATGGGTAATGTATCCCCAGTTACAGGGGAAAAAATGAAGGAGCACAAATGGTGAAGCATCTCCCTCCATTACCTGTCTTCAGAACCACACAACTAAGTATGGACAGCCCAAAATCCAAACTCTGACAATAGCAGAAGCTGCCATTCTTGCAGTGCTGGCTTTCTTTAAGCACTGCTAGAGTAGACATGCCCCCTGGGCAAACAGTGCTCACGGGGAGAACCAGAAACATCTTTAACCCCCGAAGAGCATCAAGAGAAACCTCCCAACACAGATGATAGAACTCACTATGCAATTCAAGTTTCTGATGCAGTTTTTAAAAGTCAACACAAGGGCACCTAGCTGGTTTAGTCGGTGAGACATGTGACTCTCGACCTCAGGGTCATGAGTTCAAGCCCTACACTGGGTGTAGACCTAACTTTAAAAAATTAAAATTAAAAACTATTTTAAGGGGCACCTGGGTGGCTCAGGCAATTAGGCATCCCACTTCAGTTCAGGTCATGATCTCACGGTTAGTGGATTCGAGCTCCACATCGGGCTCTGTGCTGACAGCTCAGCGCCTGGAGCCTGCTTCAGATTCTGTCTCCCTCTCTGGCCCTCTCCTGCTCACACTCTCAAAAATAAACACTAAAAAATTTAAAATTAAAAAAAAAAAAACAAAAACATTTTAAAGATAAACGGGAGGGGCATCTGGGTGATTCCATAGGTTAAGGCTCTAACTTCAGCTCAAGTCATGATCTCGCAGTTCATGGGTTCAAGCCCCACATTAAGCTTTGTGGGAACAGAATTGAGCCTGCTTCGGATTCTTTTTCTCTCTGCCCCTCCTCCACTCACTCTCTCTCAAAAACATTAAAGAAGAAAAGTCAGCTAGGGAAATGCTGAGAAGTAGCCCTGTAGGGTGAGAGCAAGCATTGGCTCAAGGGCTCTGCTGAAGAGCTAAGGTACCTGCAGCCACTTTAGACTCACCATTGAGGCCCATGGGATTAGCCTTATCCCAGGACAACCACCAGTCCAACCTCTCTTCTGGGCAAGGACCCCCCCCTCCCCAAAACAGAAAAAGTTAGCATTAGATAAGGAGACCAGTACTTTCCTACTGAGGAATCAGGAGACAGATTGCGACTGGCACCCAGGAAAATGCAGGGGGGTGAAGGGAGGACTTTCAGAAGCAAACCACTAGGTGTGGTCCAGTATTTCCCAGGTTAAGCATGAACTTGGGCTGGATTGAAATAACTTCAGTAACTTTTCACTCCCCTCTTCAGTTGCAGACATCAGAAACTGTACCAGGCCAGGAACAGAACCTGACTGAAAATTAAACAAACATCGTCCTCTTTATATTTACCAAAACAAGGTAGAGATGAGAACCGACCATCAAGATTTTTTCTTCCCCTTTCCAAAAGAGGATACCAAAGTCTGGCCCTACTCAGTGGAGTAGAAGGAACCACACACTCCATTTTGCTGAATCCTGTCCATGATGAGGGACAACTCACTCTCCTCTAAATCCTTCGAGCCGAGCCAAACCACACTAACACTTGATTTTTCAAAAAGCCCACAAGCAATCAAAAGATCCTCAGTTAAGCTTTTACCACCATTCTGAGCTTCCAATGTGCTCCCTTTAGGGGTTATCAAGAACCTGGTACAAGTGCCAACCTCTCTGTCCCCGGCCTGGAAAAGGAGCCATTTTTAGCTTTAGCTTTAGTGTTTCATCATATAAAATACTGAAGCAGTGTCCACTTAAAGAGACCCTCCAAATCTTTCCCCTTGTAAATTACATGTAAACATTTGATCAGAGCTATGAAAGATGATTTAGATTTACCACTACTCCAGGCTGCATGCACTGGTGACACTACCTTGCTAATTGTACCAGTTCTATTTAAGGTACCTAATTATTCCTACAGCTGCATTCCTGGTCCCCAAGCACTTCACCCTGAAAAAGAGGAACGTGAGGCTCTGCAGAGCATGATCCTTTCTCTGTCAATCAGTTAAGACTATGTTGCCACACTACCAAATACCACAAACCACAACTTACCTTTCCTAACAGGTAAAGAAAGATAGATTTACCTTTACAGTAACACAACACAAAATACAACGAGTTCTAACAATCTAATACAATAACCCAAGAACATCACGTGATTTTATTTTTTAAAAAACTGAAGCGCTCTCATTAAATCTTCTGAACAGAAACTATATTACAAAAAGTAATTTCAAATCCAGTAATCAAATTAGGGATAATTTCAGAGTTCAGCTTTTGAACGCATCTTCTTACCTAAGGCAATATACAAAACTGCCAGCTTTAATTCTAAACGGATACACCATAAAAACACACAACAGCACCAAAAACTGAACAGAAAATCTAGGGGACATTCGTATTTTTGCATGACCTAGGCAAAGAACTTGGCATACAGAAGCACCAAAAATGGTGCCATCCCCCAGCTTCAAACAAAAAGCAACTGCAACAAACAAATGAACGAACTGTAGTACCTCTCACACAACAAAACGCTACTCAGCAAAAAATAAGTAAAAAATAAAAAAGGAGGGGCAGAATTCACACCTTCAGTATGAACTCAAGGGATCAATCTCAGAAACATGGGAAGTGGATGAAGCCAGGCACAAAAGACCGCATACCATAAAGCTCTACTCATGACCTAATGGAAGTGAGAAACTATATACTACACACAGCAATCAGATCAGTGGTGCCGCGGGCTTGGGTTGGAGGTAGATGCTTTCTCTTAATGTAGGTTTATCAAATTTGAGCTACGATTCTTAAGAAGACTGACTACACAATATCCAAATTATACTCCAAGAAAGGAGTTTTTAAAACAGGTATTAAATATTTCAAAATTCTCTGGATGAAAACAAGAGCCATTCCAGACAATGCTTAACACCCTCAAGCACTGATAAATGTTAGAGTAATTCACTCAAAAATCAAAATTTAAGGAACTCACCTACATAGAATCAAAGTTGACCACTGAGACAACATTTAATCGTTTCCTTTTTCTTGCAAGCCTAGACTGAGTTCCTCCTTCCCTAGAATTAACATTCCATTCACCAGTTTGTTTTCAAATTACTGTCCCCCAAAACTGCAAATTCCACCCAGGAAATCTCACAAGAAGGGACATTTTTCCTATAGAATGCTGCCACCATTTGCACATTCTTACACAAAAATGAGAACCTGAAAAGGCACTCCACAGCCTGTGCTTCAACTTGTTTTGACAATTCTGAAGTGCACAAAGTCCATTACTGTTACCAGCAGCTTCTACAAGTTTCAAAACGTTTGATTTAATTAAATTTTTCCTAAGATTAACAAATTCAAATCCTTTCTCCATAGGAACCTTAACCCCAAAAGACATCAAATCCAAATTTCCAAATCTTCAAAATCGTAAGACACAAAATCTAATGCCATGGTTACTGAGAACGCACAAAGAGCAAGAACCTTTACTTACAGATCTTCCGGTCACTGGGGGGCGGGAGATTAGCCCCAAAAAAACACTATCATAAAGCAGAAATCTACCGACACAAACTCTGGTAACACGTTTCCTGCCAATAATATACAATCAGGTAGATGGCAGCTCTGAAAGCAATTATTCGAGGTTGCTAGGGAAGAACAGTACGTTAACGTGCGCACAGATTATTCCCATCAGCTGATTTTCAACGCACTTAAGTGCTACCAAAGTACCTTGGTCTAAGTTGCCTAACTCTCAAGAATCCTTTCCAGGAGCTGCTCACGTCGGTCTGTGGCACCAAACCATAAACCCTTTTCTTCCCTGGGCGACTTCTGCGATGAGAAGCTGCACCCCTCTCGGCTTCTCAACCTCAGCAGTACTGACACTCGGGGAGGGGGAGCACGGTCTCCTGCAGGGCAGGATATCCAGCAGCCCCCTCTCGGCGATGACGTTCAAAACTGCCCCCCACCGTCAAGTATACCCGAGGCAGGCGAAGAGGGGGTCAAACGCCCCAGCTGAGAATCCGTGCTCTGGCCAGGCCACCCCCGGAGCTCTCTACCCACCAAATACTCCAGGCACTCGGCGGCCGGGTTCGGCAGCAGAAAAGGGCCGGGGTGTCTACCTCCCTAGCAACGGAGGACTCAAGCCCTGACGCAGGCTGCCCTTCCCCTCAGGCGGCAATGCAGCAAGGTTATCTTTACCTTTGTAGAGGTTGGTGACGGCGGTGGCTGCGTTTTGGAAGGGGACCCAGAGAGAAAGTCCTGGCTGCTGACACACTCGGTCTGAAAAAGTGGGTGAGGGGTGCAGGGGAGAAAAAAGAAACACAAAAGACACAGAGAGAGAGGGAGAGACACAGAGAATGAGATGTTATTTGGGCGTCAATCACTCCGAACGGCCATATTAGGTTTCGCCATTTTGTTCCAGGGTTTCGGGATCCCACACTCGCTGCGAGGACGGCAGGCAGGGGGTCGCGGCGGGGCCGAGGCCGAGCCGCGGGGCTCAGAGGTGCAGCCCCCCGCGGCCGAGCCTATACCATGGGGTACTATCGTTAATACAAGCAAGCAGGTATCACTGCTGACCTTAAGGAACATGGGTTTGAACCGCTGCGTTGGTCCACTTATATATGCAAATTTTTTCAGTCAATACAGTACAGGTCTGTGAATGTATTTATCTTTTCCTTGTAATGTTCTAGTCACATTTTCTCTAGCTTCCTTTATTGTAAGAACACAGTATATAATACATACAAGATAGCATACAACCTACATGTTAACTGTATATGTTACAGGATGGATGAGGCTTCCAATCAGAAAAGCTATCATAGTTAAGTTTCAGGAGTTGTACAAAGTCACATGGATTTTCAACTGCTGTATGGGGTCATACCTTAACTAACCTCCACATGTTCAGGTCTGACGAGTAGTATATTGTTGGAATGAAGAATGTCCAAGATATATTACAAAATGGAAAATATAAAAGTCAGTTTCATAACAAGCTGTGTAATATATCTTGTGTTCAAAAGTGTTTACATATAGAATGCACTCAGTGGCTAGTCAGTTAGCATCCGACTTTTGGTTGTAAGTTCATGATCTCGGAGTTTGTTGAGCCTGTCGAGTGCAATATGTGTCTGACATGAGTCAGGATGGGTGAGTTTGAACTTCAGATTCTGTGTAAACTGATCACTTCTGCCCCCTCACGCACTTCTACGCCTCTCAAAAAAATGATAATGTGATTTAGCGGGCGTAGAGCTGTGTAGCTCATTACATGAGTTCTTGACGAGTATCAGTCACCGATCTTCTGGTCGTTCCATGCATTAGCTGGCGCTGGGCTGATGTCTGATAGCTCAGGGAGCCTGGAGTCTGTTTCAGATTCTTGTCCTCCCTTTCTCTTTCCTCCAAATTTATGCTTCTGTTCTCTCTGTCTCAAAAAATAACATAAGCGTTAAAAAAAAAATTAAAAAAAAAAATAAATGAATGTTAAAAAAAAAAACTTAAAAAAGTCTTTATGTATACATACCCAAAAGTCTGGAAGGTGTTAAAATCAGTGAATGCAGTGGCACCTGTGCTTGCCCTAGTTCAGAATGTGGCATCTTTTGGATCTTGGGTCCTGAGTTCCAGCCCCCGTTGGGCATGGAGCCTTGGAAAAAAAAAAAAAGAAGAAAGTATACATTAACTCACATTTCTTCAGTCATCAAGACTACTTATTCTAAATGATGTGAAGTTTCAGGTTTAGCTGAAATTCACATGCACTAGCCGGCTCTATAAACCTCCTCCCATTCCAAGGTTGGAGGCCTAATCCAGTCACTTTTCAGGCCCCTTGAGGACTAATTTTTTTTTTTTTTTTTTTTTTTTTTTTTTTAGCATCTTATTGAGTAATTTCAAGTGGATGTGTGAGGAACTCCTTTTCTCATTTATTCTCATTGGTAACTGGAAATTGCAAAACCTCAGACTTTTATCTATCTCATTTTGATGCTCAAAGAGTCTTACTAAGTGCCCAGGTCACTCAGACGGAAGTGCCTATAAAGTATGTTAAGCAAAACTAGATGGCACTATCTCATCAATAGAAATGTGGTCCAAGCCAAACTAGATTATTACTGGTTTTTGTAAGCCTTTCCATGTCTGTGCTTTCTTTTTATTTATTATTATTTTTAATGTTTATTTATTTTGAAAAGACAGGAGCAAGTGTGAATGGGGAGGTGAGAACAGGAAGCTAGAATCAGGGACAGGCTCCAGGCTCTGAGCTGTTAGCACAGAGTCGCCGGCCTGCTTGACCGCACAGAACTGACGTGAGATCATGACCGACTGCTGTGAGGAGTCGGACGCTAACCAGCTAGCCACCAGAGCTCCTCTTTAATTTAATTAAAAAAAATTTTTTTTAACGTTTTATTTTTGAGACAGAGAGAGACAGAGCATGAATGGGGGGAGGGTCAGAGAGAGAGGTTGACACAGAATCGAAGCAGGTTCTCCATGGTTGCCTGTTTCGAAGTAGGCTACGGATACAGACCAAACGCACTGGCCATTGGACTACGAGATCGCACGGCAGGAACGTATGATGGTCCTAACCACCAGCTTCCCATCCCTTTATTTTATTTTTTAATGTTTATTTATTTTGTTTTGTAAAAAAAATTTTTTTTAGCGTTTATTTATTTTTGAGACAGAGAGAGACAAGGAACATGTAATGGCAGGAGGAGCAGAGGAGGGAACACAGATGGCCAGGAAACAGGCTCCGGCAATTCGTAGCCATCAGCCTCCAGAGTCTGACAAGGGCCTCGAAATTAATGGA